AGTCATTAACATGTTGTAATCAGGTTATCATTATTAGTAACTGTATTTTGCTGTTGTGCTACTGAGTAGTAAGAGATCCTTATCTGTTTTAGAAATTAATCCCTTATTTTGATACATGGTCTCCAAAGTTATTTTTCATTGTCTTTTCGTTCTTCTTTTTGTTATACACAGATTTTATTTAATGTCCTCCTTCCTGTCTATTTTTTTTTGCTTTGTCGCCAGTGTTTTTAACTAGAAGATGGTTATCATCTTACCAGCTATGTAGACCTCAAAATGGAAATGCAAGAGTCATGAAAAGCCAAGTGAGCACGACACCACACCACCAAAGGGTCACAATGACTCTTCATTAACCAGCCTCAAGGAAATGGAAATGCATCTGCCTTAACATATCAAAATAATGATCTTAAGTCATAACCAATAAGATATGAAAGGAGAAAGATAATTTAATATTTTCAGAAAAATAATTCACAACCTAAATGAAAATGTTAACAGAGATAGATGTCATAACAAATTTAAAATCTCCAAATGTGAAATTTTGGAGATGAGCAAATCAGTAAGAAGAGAAAGGTTCAAACCCAAGAAGACCAAGCAGAATAAAGAACACCTCAGTCACAGGCGGTGGGGAAATAATAATAACAATAACAGCACACCAGGGCTACGGAATGTATAAGGTATCATTAAGTCAACATTTATTTGTATTATAGAAGTTTACAAAGGAGAGGAGAGGTAAAAAGAAATTTATTTAAATGGCTGTGAAAAATTCCTAATCTTAAAGGAGATGGGGTACCAGAATCTAGGAAGCTCTAAGATCAATAAATGCACACAAATCAAAATCATATTCATAGTCGCTTCTCTAATCAAACACCAAAGAGAGAATTTGAGAATCATAGATAAGCATCAACTATCAGATAAAGGAATCTTATTAACCTGCCAGAGATTTTCTTAGCAAAAGTAGGGAGAGAATAGGATGATATATTCAAAGATCTAAAAAAAAACTTCCAGCTAAGAAACCAGTTCTACAGAATATCTGTTATAAATGAAGGAGAAATATATAGTGTTTTAAAACTTTAGTTAGTGTATATTCAGCATTCACAGTGACGGATTTCATAATGCTACTTTTGTTCAAGTATATCATGTGCTTTGACGGATATTCCCTCCCTATCAATGTCAATCCCTTGGTAAGATAATTCCTGTCCTGTCAATCCCTTAGTAAGATAATTCTCCCTTTTTTTCAAGATACATAAAGGTGAGATTTGTGATCTAGCTTGGTTTGGAAACAGTGAAGTCAAGACCTCTCAGTTTTAAATGTTTATTTTTTTTTATCAAATTCTATGAATTGCATAGCTCAGTGGTCTTTGTAAGACTTAGGGAGCATGGAGAATATTCATATGGTGATGTCTCCACTCTTTCTTTTTAATGGAAGCATTCATACATACTATTTGAATACATAGTGATGGCACAGAATTTCTTAATCATGCATTCTTTGATAAGGTAATTCTTTCCAGGGGCTGGAGAGATGGCTCAGCAGTTAAGAGCACTGGTTGTTCTTGCAGATGACCCGGTTCGAATCCAAGCACCCACATGGTAGCTAACAATTGCCTGTAACTCCGGTTCCAGGGGATCCGACAGCTTCTTCTGTCCTCCACGGGCATTGCACGACACAGGTGCACTTAACTACATGCAAGCATAACACTCATACACATAAAATAAAAATAATAAATTTTTTAAAAAGATAATTCTTTCCCAGACAGACAAAGTTGGTGAAGTAACAATGGTAAACTCAGTCAGGCAGACCTTCCACATCCTTTCAGAGGTTCATATAGAAAGAAGGATCCCCAAAGACTACTGTGGTGGTTTGAATGACAATGCCTACATAGGCTCCTAGTATTTCGATATTTTGTCCTCAGTTGGTGGTGGGAAGTGGCCATGCTGGAGGAAGCATGGCACTGCATCACTTTCGGGGGGTCGGGGGCGGGGGGCTTAGAGAGTTCTTAAGCCTTTTCGGAACTCCACTCTCTGCTTTCTGTGCCTGCTTGAAGATGTGAGCTTAGCTTCTGCTCACAGCCACTGCTGCCGCCACGCCTCCCCTCCAGGATAGACTCTTGCCCCCTTGGAACCATAAGTTACATAAACTCTTTCTACATACATAACAAAGAAAATATACTGAAAGCTGTGAGACAGAACGATTAAGTCATATGTAAGGGCAGACCCATCAGAATAACAGTTCACTGCTCAGTGGAAACTGTGAACGCCAGAAGGGTATGGACCTATGCCCTACAAGCCATGAAAGAACACAGATTCCATCTCAGACTACTGTACACTGCAAAACTATCTGTTGTAATTGAAGAAGAAAGAAAACACTTCCATGATACAAACAGATTTAAGGAATTTATGTTCAAGAAACCAGTTCTACAGAATATTGATCTGAAGAAAAGATTAAACATGCTCAAGAAGGCACAGAGAGCAAATAAATTATCCCAGAACAGTCAGAGGATGTCTTTAAAAAGCCCAGTACTACAATACCAACATAACAGGAATTAATAAACATTGGTCAAAAATAACTTTCAGTTCCCCAGTGAAAAAACACAGACTGATTGGATTAGAAAACTGGATCCATAAGTTTGTTGTGCCCAAGAACTCACCTCACCATGAATGACTGACACCACCTTAGGGTTAAAAAGATAAAGATGCTCCAGGCAAAGAGAACTAAGGAACAAGCAGGTTTAGCTATTCCACTATCTGACAAAATGGACTTCAAACTAAAACCAACTAGAAGAGACAGGTAAGACCAACTCACACCCCTTAAAGGAGAAATATAACACGAGATGCTGCAATCCTAAACATGTATGCACTACACAAAGGGGCACCCAATTTCACAGAAGAAACTTTATTAGATATGAAAGCACACATTGACTTCAACACAGCAGTAGTGGTGACTTCAATTCCCCACTGTTACCAATTTTCAAGTCACAGGAAAAAGCTAACCAGACAAACACTAGAATGATCATCATAAATCAAGTGAATCTAATAGATATCTACAGAACACTTCACTCAAAAACCAAAGCATGCACTTTCTTCTCAGTAGCCCATGGAACTTTCTCCAAAATTGACCACATACAACACAAAGCAAGTCTCCACAAATTTAGAAAAGTGGAAATGTTAACCTATGTTCTATATGACCACAAAGGGATAAAGCTAGATATCAATGACAATAAAAGTGGGAAAAGTACATTAATTATTGGAAGCTAAATAACACATCACTGAATGAAATATGGATCAAGGGAGAAATCATGAAGGAAATCAAAAAATGAGGACACAGTACAGCAAAACCTGTGGGACACAATGAAGGCCATCCTCGGAGGGCAACAGAGCATTAAGTTCACACACACACACACACACACACACACACACACACACACACACATGATGCCCCTGAAGGCCTTGGAAAACGGAGAACAAAGAATACCTATAACGTGTAGACAGGGGACTAGAGCTGGCTCAGTGGTCAAGAGCACTGACTGCTTTTGCAGAGGACCTGGGCTCCGTTTCCAGCACCCACATGGTGGCTAACAACCATCTGTAACTCTAGTTCCAGGGGATCAGATGCCCTCTTCTGATCTCTGATCAAATGCAGAGAATAGGTGTCCATGAGATGCTTAATCCTAAGTGATACATCTGCAATACCACCTCTTCACATAGGATGAATGTATCCCTTGACTCCATCGGAGAAGTTTCCTTGTGCAACAGATGGTGACTAACACAGAGACCCACAATTAGCCAGTGTGTAGAGAACAAGAAGTGGAAGGGTGCTTATCCCTCGACAGGAGAGCGCTTGCAAACCTCTGCCTCCTGTGGCTCAGGGATCTTTGCAGAAGACGAGGCAAAAATATTGTAAGATCAGAGAGGCTGGATGAACACAGGGAAACAGAGCCCTCCAGACAACTGGTCAGATACTCATATGAACTCACAGCAATGGAGAGAGCAAGCTCAAATTAGAGAAGTCCCAGCATAGACATGGGGAGGTGGGTAGGAAATCCTAACCCAAATTTTGGCAACTGATGACTACCAGGAGTAGGAAAGATGGTGTCTTGCAGGCTTGGGTCTCTTGGTGGGCCGAGTGGGTGGATCCCCTAAGGGCACTGGGGGCTCATACTCTACAGGCCATGTTACTTATGTAAGAGAGTTTATCGAATTGGGCAGGGGTACTGGGGAGAGGTGCAAAGAAGGGAATAGATCTTAATGCCATCAGACTATATTGTATGAAAATCTTAAAAATTCAATAAAAATGCACAACAAAAAGTAACAACTAAAAGAAAAAAATAAAATAAAGTATTTTTAAGTTTAAAAATTCTCTTAATTCAGACAGTTATCTCAATATTTACTTCATGAATAATCATAGTAGATAATTTTGTACTGCAATGATAAAGAGCTTTGAACAATAATCTTGGATGATATATGACACAGTCTCTCCTTTCACTGTCTATCCATCATCTCATAAGGGAAATTTTATAAACGACAGTATAGGCGAATGCCCAATTCATAAACTATATTGATTGTTCCATAATCTGATCTCTAACTTACTTTTACAGATGAATTAAGATAATAGAATCAACGACCACACCAAGGCCTACCTTACTAACCATGATGTCTTTGAGTTAATAACAGAATTATAAGTGCAAATGGCATCCTGTCAGACAGCTGTTTATAGGACAGTAAAATGTCATCACAGTGATTGCCTATGCTAACAAAAGAGTCCCACAGTCTGTAGTCTTACCCATGCTACCATGACAACACAACCATCCTTCCTTCAGATGGGTCAATGCAGAGGCTAGGATGCCCTGCAACCACACTTCACTGCTTCTGGTTGTGACACAATCTATGATGACAGCCATGAAGAATATTATGAGCCAATCCATTGGCTACAAACTAACCATTTTAAGCACTCTTAAGCCATAACGAACGTGCACACTACAAAGGGATTAGTTGTCCTCTGTACTTACCTTCTACTGAAGGACAGCTCGCTGGTTCGCCTGCTGTCATCTGACACAGATCTATAATTGACAAAACTCCATTTAAAATGGGGGAAATTTTAATTCTCAAAATTAAATTTGAAGACTGTTCTCTAAGAAACCGCGTGATTCATATATATGAAATGCCATTTTCTAACACAAGCAGTTACGGCCTCTGTATTAGGACAGACACTTGGTGGACTGGGTCTTCTCATTCTCATTCAACATTGGCTCTAATATTTGCACAATAGACACATCTGCATAGACAGTCCTATTACCCCATGATATCCCTAATTCCTTAGCTCAAATTACATCAAAATGATCAACAGCATGAAATGAATCAAATTAACCAAAACCCTGTACACTACCCCATAAATACATACAATTTTGGTATGTTCATGTATCAGTTAAAGATAAATTTTAGAAAACTTCCAACAATCATGTAATGAATATTAAACGGTTTTGTTTTAAGAATTTTACTTTATGTTCATGGTATTTAAGCCGTATTTCAAATTTAAAATTTTCTGTGGATTTCCTTTTAATTCAGACACTAACATTGTTTATGAGGAATTGTGTGTTTCAACCAACTCACAATTGATCTTGTGCAAATAGCAAGAATTTCTTTTGTGCACCTGTGTACATGTTCATGTGTATGCACATCTGTGTGGAGGTGTATATGGAGGTCATAGATCAATGACAGAGATCTTCTTCAATACCTATCTGTTGAGACAGAATCTCTCACTGAGCCCAGAGCTCACTAATTCAGCTACATTACCTGGGTAGCCGCCCCAGGGCTGTTGGCACCTTTCCAGTACGGGCATCAGGTGCTTGCCAACATTCTCAGGTTTTTACATGGATGCTAGGAATCCAAACTCAAGTTTTAATGCTTTCACAGTAAGCATTTTGCTGATTGAACCATCTCCCTAACCCAATGGTAAGCATTTCTATTTCTAGATACTTTTCAATAATTATTATTACTTTGATTTTAAATAAATTTATAGTTCTAGGGAGAAAAATCAGTCATTTTTCTACGTGTTTCTAAATATTTCTTTCTCTTATCACAAAAATGTACTTATGTTGACTTGTCCTGTCAGTTCTTGAAAGGTAAAGCCAGCAGTAAATATTTGGCAAAAGAGTATGAATTATGTATAGGAGTTCAATATAATGGTTAATATTATTGCAACTTGTTCCAAATAATATGCTGATTTCACTCATTATATTTATATACCTAAAAGTTTTTCAAATATTGGAAAGCCTTCTTCATTTCCTACTTAAAGAATTATAGAGAACAATTGCAGGTATACAGATATTAAGTCAATCACTTAACAAAGCATAGTTTTGCATGCAAGGCTTGAAACTTAAAACTAAGTTTTCTGAAGCTAAATGTGATTTTCATCACACTGTCTCTTGTCTCTCAACTTTTAAGAATTATTTTATCTATTACTTTTGTTTTGTGTGCATGAGTGTATTGCCTGTGTGTCTGTAAGTACACCTGTGTCATGCAATACCCACAGTGTTCAAAATACGGCATCAGTCAGATCCCCTGGAACTGGAGTTTCAGACATTTGTTAACTGCCATGTGGGTACTGGGAATCAAACCCACGTCCTCTGCAAGAGCATCCAATGCTCTTAACTGCTGAGTCATCACTGCAAGCCATGCAATTACTGTGAGAATTAACAATATCAATACTTAGGACAATAAATATTGTGAAAGAAAGTTCATAGTTATTACTACAATTGAGAAAGGTGTTATAATAAAGATGTTTCCTACTGACCTTGAATTTATATTTAAGTTTACATTTGAAACTTACCTTAACAACAGTAATTATTACTATTATAAGGCTCTATGAACAACATGGATAATTTAACAGGGTCACTGAATTAAGAGGTTAAATATGTCTCAAAGGTACCTGTGGAGTACCGTTTCCTTCTACCAGGATACTACAGGTAAGCTGAGGGACTTTCAGTGATGAAATGCACCATGGCAATAAATCCAATTTGGAATGTGTCTCTGTGCCTCTTGTTATGTTGCCTTACCCAGTGTTTTATTCTTAGTGAGATGAGTTTAATGTAATAATAGTAATCATATATGCATCTATAATGTATATACCTGTAGCTTTCAGGTTCCTCTTTGGAACAGAGCTCTATTAATTTACTTTGCTTTATTATTGCAGCAATGATAACGACAGTCACAGGTAGAGAAATGTAGAAAATTAGTTGATACCAGTGTTTTCCAGAAATACCATGTTTTTTCTGCAAATTACTTCTACCTAGAATGGAAAATACCAATTTTAAATTGTGTCTGAGATTTTATTACCCAAATGAAAAGGGGGAGAAGAAATCCTTACCAGCATTATTCCCCAACATTAAACATTTCATTCATATTCACTATGATATAATGTAGACAAACAAAAATTAAACTACTGCATATAACTGCTGTTAGTATTTACTGAGTCCTCAATCTTTCAGTGTGTGGAAGACTCTTAGATAGACTTAAAGACCACAGATGCCAGTCCAAACTATTATACACAGCAAAGCTGTCGACTATAATTGAAGGAGAAAGAAAACTTTTCATGGTTAAAAACAGATTTAAGGAATTTGTGATCACTAGCTCTACAGAGGATATTAGAAATAATGCTTCATTCTGACAAGAAGGCCAAATACATACAAGTGAGCACAGGAAATCAGTAAACAATTTTGAACAGTTAATCAAACGAGGTCTAAGAAAATACTGCTAACACACACACACACACACACACACACACACACACACACACAAAGCAGGAATTAATAAACATTGATTTAAAAACCCTCAATATTCATAGTTACCATTCAATAAAGAGACATAGACCAGCACTGGATTAGAAAGCAGGATCAATTTTTTCTGCCTCCAAGAAACACACTTCAACATTAACTAGAGATATGACCTTAGAGCAAAAGGATGAAAAAGGTATTCCAAGAAACTGGAACTAAGAAAAAGGCAGCCATTGCTATTGTCTAACAAAATAGACTTCAAGCCCAAACTAGAAGGGATAAAGAAGGACATTTCACACTCGTTAAGGGAAAAATCTGCCAAGAGGATACTGCAGTCCTGAATTTCTAAACACCAAACTCTGGGACACCTAATTTCTTAAGAGAAATATTATTAGATCTAAAACCACAGATTGACCACAAAACAGGGAACTTCTGGGACTAAACGACATCATGAACCAAGTGGATCGAACATATCTACAGATCATTCCACCCAAACACGAAAGATTACATATTCTTCTCAGTAGCCCACGAAAAGACTATTGCTCTAAAATCAAGCACATATTAAGACACAAAGCAAGTCTCAACAAACATATTCTTCTCAGTAGCCCACAAAAAGACTGTTGCTCTAAAATCAACCACATATTAAGACACAAAGCAAGGAATAAAACTGGATGTCAGCAACAACAGAAATCACAGAAGGCAAATGAACTCACGGAAACTGAACAACACTTTACTGCATATAATTCGGTCAAAGAAGAACTCGAGAAATTTAAATATTCCTAAAATTGAATTAAAATGGAAACACAGCATGCTAAAGTCTATGGGACACAAGGCATTCAAGAGAAAAGTCTATTGGACTAAGGGCTTATATTAAAAAATGAGAGCTGTCAAATTAATAATTCACTGAAGGCCTAAAAACAACAAATAGCAAACAGCAGAAAGAAGAAAACAAAATGAAAGTAGTCAGTGAAATGAAGAGTAGAATCTTTGAAAGATTAACAAACCTTCAGACAGATTAACCAGTAGAAAGATAGACAAGACCTAAATTCATAAAATTATACATGAAAAGGAAGACATTGTGACACTGAGGAAATTCAGAGAATAAGGATAAATTTTTTAAAAAATATACAGTCCACCAACTGGAAAAATCCTTTAAAAAGTTTAACAGAGAAGCAAATAATTTAAATAGATCCAAAACATCCAATATGATAGAAGTAGTAATTACAAATCTGCCAACTAACAAAAGCCCAGGGAAAGGTGAATTTAGTAGAAAATTCTACCAGACCTTCAAAGAAAAGGAAGGAGCATTTCCAAAATTTTTTATGAAGCCAGTATTACCATGCTTCTAAAACAAAAGACCCAACAAAATAAGAGAATCAAAGGCCAATATCCCTTATGAACATAGACGCAAAATTTTTTAACAAATCTAAAGCAAGAAAACATCTGTGCTGGTTGGTTTTTGTCAATGTGACACAAACTAGAGTCACCTGGGAAGAAGTAATCTCAATTGAGGAATTTCCTCCATCATACTGGCCTATGGGCATGTCTGTGGGAGCATTTTCTTTATGGCAAACTGATGTATGCAGGCCCAATCTACTGCAGATGGTGCCATCCCTAGGCAAGTAGGCCTGGTCAGTAAAACAAAGACACCTGACAAGCCAGGAAAAGCAAGTCCATGAACAGTGTTTCTCCATAGTCTTTGTTAAGTTCCTGCATCCAGATTCCTAACTTCAGCTCTTGTCCTGACTTCCCACAAAGATGGGCTGTAACTTATAAGGTGAAACGACCCTTTCCTACCCAGGTTGCTTTTGGTAATGGTGTTTATCACAGCACAGAAGACAGCTAGTGAATACCCAAAAGACTATCCACTATGATTAAGTTGGATTCGTTCCAGAAATGTAGGCATGGTTCAACATACATAAATCAATAGAGGCAATCCACCACATAAATAAATCCAAGGACACAAAGAAATCAGAAAAGCTAAATACTAATCAAGAGAACAAACTATTCACTGCTGTGAGGAACAGAAACTGGCGCACCCACTATGGAACTCAGTAGGAAGCTCTTCAAAGCGCTGGAAATACATGTACAGATGACCCAGCTACACCACTCTTGGATGTTTACACTAAAGACTCCATGTCTCACTGTAGAGATACTGGCTAATCCACGCTCACTGCTGCTCTATTCACAATAACCAGAAAATGGAAACAACAGAGATGTCCATCAACTGATGAATGCAATGTTATTCATATGTTAAGAAAAATGCAGTTATAAAAATTTTAGGTAAATGGGTGAGCATGGAAACAATCATCCTGACTGAGGTAACACAGACCCAGAAAGATAAATGTTCCATGCTTCTTCTCACTTGTGGATGCTAGCTTTGAATCTTTAGATATATGGGTTTCATTTGGAATACCTGTAGAGATCAGGAAACTAATAACAGGCCAGTGGGGAAGGCTGTACCGAGGGGAGGAAGACAGAACACAGGCCCTAGATGTGACAGCACAGCCTGTGAAGCAGCCTTCGTAGACCAAAGGGGAGCCGCATTTACACTCTTCATTATCACTGAATTGAATCACACTTGTATCTCCACTCAAAAATCAACACAAGTATTAGAAGCATTGACGTACTAACTCTTTGTATATCATCTGAAATCAACCAAGTTTGGGAAACAGCAAAGCAAAACCAAACTTTTACTCCGCATAAAGCAGGCTACAATTTCACATCAGACATCACTAGCAAAAGAAGTTCACATGTCCAGGTCACATTGCAAAAACGAGCTATACAAAAGGCCTAGACAGCACGCCCTGCTCCAAAGAGTTACTAGTTCTACAGAAATGTTCTACAAGCAGAATTTCTCAGATGAACCATGGGGCACGGAACTTAAAAGAACAAGGAAAAATATGATACAATAGATCAAGGAGCTTTAAGAAGACACAAACACGTCAACGAACTTAGAGTTTAGGAAAAAGCTGTGTAAAGTTCAAGAAAACACAGATATTAACTGAATGAGATGACAGAGACAATTCAGGATTTGAATACAGAGATAGAAATACTAAAGAAAACTCAATCTAAGATGAAGATGAAATTGAAAAAAATCAAAAACCCAATTAGAAAAATCAAGAGAAAGCCTCACCAGTACAAGAGATCAAGTTAAAGACAGAATATCAGGGTGAAGACAAAGTAGAGGAACTGGACTACTCAATCAAAGAACATGAATTTTTTAAAACACATGAAAGGAATGTGCAGGAATACTGAGATGCCATGAAAAGACCAAATCTCCACGTTATAGGCACAGAAGAACAGTACCAGGGCTGGAGAGATGGCTCAGTGGTTAAGAACACTGACCGTTCTTGCAGAAGACCCAGGTTCAAATCCCAGCACCCACATGGCAGCTAACAACTGTCCGTAACTCCAGTTCCAGGGGATCCGACAGCCTCTTCTGTCCTCCGTGGGCATTGCACAACACAGGTGCACTTACCCACATGCAGGCAATACACTCATACACATAAAATAAAAAGAAGAAATAAAATATTTTTTTTAAAAAAGAAGAAGGGTACCAGGAAATGGCATAGATCAGATTTTTGACAGAATGGTAGAAGAAAACTTTTCCAAATTAAAAAAGGCATACCTTTACAGATGCAAGAAGCACACAAAACACCAAAGAGACAAGACCAGAAAAGAAACTGCCCTTGGCACATCATAGCAAAACACCAAATCCACAGAAGTGAGGACACTGAAAGCTGCAAAAGAAAAACCACAACTTACATGTACAGGAATGCCATAAACAAACAGCTGCCTTTTCAATGAAAACTTTAAAAGTCAGAGGACCCAGAGTCATGTTCTCCAAGTTTTCTAAGACCACAGACCATTGGATAGGCCTGTCCTCCAGAACTGGCCACAGCTGAATGTCTGAACCCTGGGAGACTACTCTGTAGACAGAGGGGGGAGACAGCAGCTCCTTCCACCCAATCGGGTAAGCTTCAATCACATGACGGGGTGGCTCTCAGGACAGACACAGAGGAAGCCAGGGAGGCGGTGGGGCATCTCCATCTTGGAGGGGCACTAGCGGCCATGGATGTTGGAAGCTCACCAGAGATGTAGGGGAAAGAGCGCCCAGGCATCCGTGTCTTTGTAAGTGAGCCCTTCCCGGATATCATAAGCCTTGTTGGCAAGCCCAAGTAAGTACCTTTAATCCCCCAACTGTAGCTTAGAGGGACATTGTGTCAGTTTTGTGGGTCAGTCGTTGTAAGGACAGTGTGGGGCCTGGGAGCCGAGAAGGTCGCAGTGCACCCCACAGAGGGCTTGGGCACCGAGAGTGCATGAACTCGGGCCTCCCAGGAGAGAATTTCGCTTTACAGACCCCAACCCGGATTACTTTACCCAGCAAAACTATCCGCCATAGTTGAAAGAGAAAGCAAAACCCCCATGATATGAACAGGCTAGAAGAGCTCAGTCCACTGAACCCCCTTATTGAGAACACTGGCGGCAACACTGGATTGAAGAGTGGGATAGGCACAGCCAAGAGAGGACTAACATCCAAAGAAAACAAATGAAGCTATAATTCAGAAACACAAAATCAGACTAAGAGCGCAAGCCAGTATGACAACAATCAACACACATCTTTTAATAGAAACTTTAAACACCAAATTGCCTCAACTCCTCTAACCAAAGACACAGGCTAGCTGAATGAATTAAGAAGCAAAATCTGTAATTTTTTGCCTACAAGAAACTCATCTGATCTTCAAGGATAGGTACTACCTTAGAATGAAAGGATGGAAAAAATTATTCCAAGCAAACGGTACCAAGAAACAAGCAGACATAGCTATACTGCTGTCTGACAAAACAGACTTCAGACTATAAATGTAATCAGAAGTGATCAAGGACACTTAATTCTGATCAAAGGAACAACTGATAAAGAAGACACAACTGTCCTACAAGTATGCACCAACTCTGGTACACGTAATTTCATAAAGAGTTCTACTGGACTTTAAGACACAGATTAACCCCAAATCAGCAACAGTAGGTAACCTATACCTAGAAAGACAAACTCCACATGTTCTGCCTTATTTGTGGATCCTAGCTATGAATCTTTAGATGTGAGTAAGTAATCAAAGAAGTAATCAAAGAAGCCAGAAGAGCAGAAAGGAGCTATAGGGGAATGGGCAAAGCAGCTCTACAGAGTGGGGTAGTAGACTACAGGTGCTGTCAAGGCTAAAATGAGAAAAATGGGTGGGGGGACTTTAACTTAGGAGGGAGGAGAGAGGTCAATACACAGGGAGAGGGAGGAGGAAAACATTATGCTATAAGCTTACTTAAAAATAGATATATAGGGGCTGAAGAGATGGCTCAGCAGTTAAGAACACTGACTGTTCTTGCAGAAGACCCAGGTTCAAATCCCAGCACCCACATGGCAGCTAACAACTGTCTGTAACTCCAGTTCCAGGGAGTCCGACAGCTTCTTCTATCCTCTGCGGGCACTGCATCACACAGGTGCACTTACCTACATGCAGGCAATACACTCATACACATAAAAGAAAAATAATAAAATATTTT